TTAGACCAATTAATTTTTTATGTAAGTGGCCCTTGTTTTTAGATTGGACTATATTTCATCATTTTGGAACAGGAATTGTATATATACATATGTATCCTGATATGATGACATATATTGATTATATTAGAAAAGATAGTATGTGTTACATGCAGTAAGTTAACATTTACATAAAATATAGTTGTTGTAACACCCAGAAATTAATCTGCATACAGAGAGGAAATTATTAACTTAGAAATAGATAAATTAATCAAATTATTAATTTTAAATATTTGTCTTAATATTTGAACAAATTTTCAATATTAAAGCAAATATCCCATTTCATCATTCATGTAGTTGCCAAAAATACTTAGCATTCCATTGTTATTCCTGACTGATGTGCAATTTTAATTCACCTTTTGAAAAATAGATATAAATAAATAGATAGATATAAAACAATTTCCTCTATTAATCCTTCAACTAATATCTAACTTCAAATGATTCATCAAGAATATTGTGTATTCTGTATGAGCATCTGTTCAAAAAGGGGAGAGAATTTGTAGCCAGCATATAGTAACTACCATGTTTCTTCAAAAACACGACCCACCCCAATAATAAGCCCAACCCTAATTTTGGGGAGGTGGGCCTAGTATTACCCCACCCTGAAAATAAGCCGGGATGGGCGTGGCCAGCACAAGTAGCGGTGTGGGCACCGGGGAGGCGGGGGGGCAACTGTCTGCCTGCAACTGCTGCCCACTGGCCCCTTGGGCCAGCATAAATAGTACTTTTGCCCTTCTCTTTCTGGGTACAGCGCTTCTGCTTAATAGGCCGCTTCCCCAAAGCCAGCAGCTCCGCGATCAGCTACTTAGCTTTTTTCCTCTTTTTGGGAGGCTTGCAGGAGGTATTTGGCAAACGGGAGGAAAATAGGGAGGTGGATTTCCTTTCTTGTCATCCATTCCCCAAGCTCAGCACAGACTGAGGGAAGGATGACAGGCAGGAAAATCCCCCTCCCCATTTTCCTCCCGTTCTCCAAAAGCCTTCATTCCAAACACTGACGGTTCAGAATGGAGGTGCAGCCACAGCACGTCCAGCTCACCGAATCTGGCCTGTTGTTCCTCAAAAAAAGACCACCTCGAAAATAAGCCCAAACACGATATTAGTATAATCAAACTGTGCTCATGGTTGTCAATTGTAAAGGATATGTTTCCACATGTGAAGCGCTTGATAATTATTGTAAAAGTAATATTAAAAAAATAACATAACTGGAACATATTTTTATTCAGAAGTAACCACCAATCACATTCTTTCCAAGACGAGCATACACAGCACAATAATTTCAATTATACAAAGTTTGTGAGATATTAAAATAGGGGTACAGGTATAAAAAGTATTTTCCACCTGAATTTTGTTCATGTGATGTGGGAACATTGCAGCAGCCTCAACTTCAGTTAGTGGTCACAAGTCCTTTGTTCAGTGCCGTCATAATTTTGAACGGTTACTATATAAACGTTCAAAGGACGACCTGTATTAGTTATTGAGAAACCTATCCACTGAATCACATTTTTGGTCCCCAAAAATACCTGAAATGCTCTTCTGTTGTGAAAATGAATAGGTAGAGGGCACTAGTAATTTATTTCCTGCATACCACCAGCCAGCAAATGTTCAAACAGCTATAGAAAAATACCCAGAGATACTTTTCAAAAGGTAATCAGACTTTCTTGTTTTTTTTCTTTGAAAACGTTTTGCTTCTAATCCAAAAAGCTCTTCAGTTCTAAAGGAGAATGAGAAGCAAAATATTTTTAAAGAAAAAAAACAAGAACGTTTGGTTGCCTTTTGGCAACCATGATCTGGATGATTGAGAATCTCCCTAGACATATAGCAAAATACTTTTCTGTCTGTGTTATTAATGTGCATGGTTATTTATGTTTCAGAATAGCATATTTCCTGTCCTATTAATGTAGATTGCCTTTGATATATTTTGGTTTCAGGAGCTCAAATGCCTAATATTATCTTAGATGTTCAGCCAGGAGGCAGCCATTGTTCTCCAACGTATGAGGATTCCTTAAAACAGGTAGAGATATCCTTTACAATGGATAGAGTCACAAATTAATACTACAACCTGTGAATACAATTGTTGGTCCTCTGAAATATCTTTTCCATTTCTGTATATACAAGCCTACCAAATCATAATCCCCCCCCCTTCCCACTTAGGATCTGTAGCTCTTTTTTTTATAAACAGGAATTTGTTGTAGTCATTGAGATTCTAGGTTTCGCCAATATAAAAATTTAACTTATCATAACCCATTAAGTGAATACTTTTGAAATAAACATTATTTTGGAAAGTGTTATTCCCAATCCAGGATTGTAGATGTCAAATTATCACCTGTAGCAGTAATCGTTACCAGGAAAAAGGGCAGGGCAGCTGAGACGGAGGAGGAAAGATGCACAGGGATTAGACTCATTCATCTTCCTTCTCACGAAACTGTGGATTGGCTAAATATGCATGGGATTCAGCCTCTTGGATCATATTACAGTGACCAAGGAAGATCTTCCCAGTAACAGGCTGGTAGTAATAATATACGAGGGCTTCTCTATCAGTATATTAGGGCTGTACTTTGCACTTTATACTATATAGCCCAGAATCTGTAATTTTGGATAGAAAGGATCCTTCTGCCTATAAAAGCTTCACATTCAGTAGAAAAATTACGCTGTTGAAAAGGAACTGCAGTGGTTGATGTTGATTTCTCCCCAACATCAGTCTTCTTTGTTTATGGAAAAATCTGTTGAGGTGGTTGATGGAATATCTAGAACAGCAAGGAAAATAATGCTAGGGATTCTCAAGGAGATGAGAAATTGTATTCAAGTCTTTTATAGATTTAAGTATGTAAAAACACAACTTACGCAAATAATGCATCCTTTTTTTTCTTGTTGTGTTTAAATATTTTTAAAGTGTAGATGTGAACTTTTTGCCTACTATAGACAATACACACACTCACATGAAAGTACTTCAGCCACAGGCTACGATTGAAAGAAGCAAAGTAATTTTGAAAGCATTTTGTGACACCAGCTTCAGCGTTGGCTGCTGTTGTTCTGGTCACAAGCTGTGTTATACTTGACAGTAATGCTCAATTCACAGAAAGCTTTCCGGATATCAGTGAAAAGCCCATTACAGTAGCTGCCATTTTCTAAAGAGAATTCGGCAGGAAGAACTCTGATTACTCTTCAGACTGTAGACAAACCCCCATGATTATCCCCAGTGTTACAAGAGCACGAACAGCACTTCAAGGAGACCATCAATTGGGGTGGAAAGAGCTACAGAAAATACATCTCTAAAGTGTGCAAAAAGTTACGACTACTGTGTTCTGTACTTTTTTTTTTTTTTAGGTTGCAACACAACTAGCATTTCTATATAGTGAGGTTGGACTTGACAAGCAGGAGTAAAGCCAGGCTGGAATTTTTGTCCTTTTTGCAAAAGAAAGGAAAACGATTCAGCTAAATATTACCTGCCGAAGTGACTTCTTGAGAACTTTTTAACTTATTTTGGAAACTAAATTTATCCGGTGTTTGCCTGAAGAAAAGACAAGACACTTCTCCAAGTTCAGACGGTTTTGTTCACCTCAATAAAATTATTGTTTGTTTGAATTTGTCTTCCTTTCCTATATTGAAATATATGCAAATGGCTCGTAAGCAATAAGCAGAAAGCAGAAAATACAACCAAATTAAGGGGCTAAAAATCAGTAGTTAAAACTGATCAATTTAAAGCAATGCTTCAATAAAATTATTTTCATCATTTACTGAAAAACAGGCAGTGAAGCCTAAGTTCTTTTTAGGAAAGTTATTCTAAAATCTATGGCCAACAAGTGAAACAACCCTTTCTCTGCTGTTGAGTGGAATGCAAGGAAATATTATCTATACCAGAATAGTGCTTGCAGAGAGAGAAATAAAACTATATTGTATCTTGTTGCTCTTTGATTTAAAGATCAAACACACACCCTGAAGTGAACCTGGAAAGAAGCTGACAAGTGCAGGATTGAATTGGTATATTCCAGTGCCTTCTATTCTTCAAGAATCCTAGCACCTGCAGTCTGGACCAGTCCATGTTTGCAGATTGTCCTGAAAGTCAGGTTTATCTAGACTAGAGCATATTATAGAATCCAATGTAATATTAATATTATATGAGAAATTATTTTTCTTATTTTAAAGTTTAAACCTACCATCAGATCTTTATCCCTGCATTAGATAAGAAACAAAATGTAAGGTACATATTTAATAGAAACACACAATTTCATAGAATGTAAGAATTGGAGGAACTAGGAAAGCCAGCTAGAATGGTTCTCAAAAGGCTTACAATTAATAGGAAAGTAATTTTACAAGCAACCATTTAAGCTAAGTACAGTAAACAGTCCATTGTAACTACTAGAGAGAGTTAATTTTTGGACTTCTTAGGTAATTCTAATTCTCCCATTAGAATTAGATCTAGCCTATAGAAATCTTATGAACAAGCTGGCATACCTTTTGTAAAGAAGTAACATGTAAATCATCAACTAATGGATTTAGACTAATTAATAATGACATTTAACAGTATGTGTAAAGTAAATTAAAGGCACTGGAATAGCATGCCTTTTCTGCAACGAAGCACTTCTCTTTGAAATTGTCCATCATATGGAGTGGTTTGCTTGTCCTATATTCCAATACAAGTCCTTCACCTTTTTGCGTTTCAATTGTTTTCATGTTTACAACTTTCCCAGTATTACTGAAAATGGTGCTTAGCTTTATATTAGCTTCTGAAGGAATGCCAGGAACCAAAGATTGCAGATTTGTTATGGTTCCCATTCCAAAATTTAGAACCATCATAAACACTTGATCCAACCCATCAAGTTCTCTTACATAAACAAAGACATTGGTATCATTCCATATGTAACACGTCCATCCCCTGTGAATGGGAAGCTCACTGGACCGAAGGGAATTGAGTTCTCGGTACAAATTGAGTGTGGAATTTGGGTAATTTTGTTGAATCTGAAATAAAGGAAAATCATTACTTAATTTATTAAATGCTTAATAAATACCCTTATTTGTTGTTACATAAAGTTCACTGGAGCCTTGGTAGGGTTGTGTGGGTGGTAAACTATAATCAAACATATGGTGTAACTTGACTATAGGTCAGTGATGGCTAACCTTTTTCTAAAGGTGTGCCAAAACTCTTGTGTGCACACACTAACACACATGCATGCCCACCCACCTGCACATGCACGAGAAACCTCCCACTGCACATGCACAAGCAACTACTGTGTGGGGGGAATTGTTACCCTCCCCAGGCTCCCGAGGCTTTCCTGAAGCTTAGGGAGGGTGAAAACGCCCACTCCTGCCCCCCAGATGGGAGAGATCATTTTCGCCCTCCCTAGGCTTCAGGAAAGCCTCCGGAGCCTGGGGAGGGTGAAAAACAGGTCCAACGGGCCAACCGGAAGTTCGGAAATGAACTTCCAATTGACCTGTTGGACCTGTTTTTCGCCCTCTCTAGACTCCGGAGGCTTTCCTGAAGCCGGGGGAGGGTGAAAACAGCCTCCTTCGGCCCTCCAAAAGGCTGAAAATCAGCTGTGCCAGAGCAGAGGGCTGCCATGCCAACAAATATGGCTCCATGTGCCACCTGGGGCAAGCATGCCATAGGCTCGCCATCACGGCTATAGGTAGTCCTCAATTTACAACAGTTCATTTAGTGACTGTTCAAAGTTATAATAGCATTAAAAAAGTGACTTATGACCATTTTTATGACCATACTTATGACTATTGCAGCATCCCCATAGTTAGGTGATTTACATTCAGATGCTTGACAACTGCTTCATATTTATGGCTGTTGCAGTGTCCTGGGGTCATGTGATCCCCTCAACAAATTTCTCATTATCAACATAAATTATGGGCTAAATTATGGTCCTAAGAGCCAAGGTGGCGCAGTGGTTAAATGCAGCACTGCAGGCTACTGCTAGATCAGCAGGTCAGCGGTTCAAATCTCACCGGCTCAGGGTTGACTCAGCCTTCCATCCTTCCGNTAAAGCCGCCTTTTGCAATTGAGTGATGGTGAACTTGTCACTGCTTGATGGTGAATTTGTCACTGCGTGATGCTCCAGTTATTTTGGGATTGTACCCAAGGCACCTATTACTATTGGGACTATTTGCTTGCTTTGGTCACAGTCATTCTATTTCTATTTGCAGGTCTTTGTATTTTGTGATCTTCTCCAGTTCTTTCTCTTCTCTTCTACTGTCCCCCAGAAGTGCCACATCCACGATCCAAACTTTTTTGTCTTTCTTATCAGCAATTGTTAAGTCCAGGGTGTTATATGCCAGGTGCTTGACTGTTTAAATTCTAAAGTCCCAGAAAAAAAATAGCTTCTTTATATTCTACGATTTTGTCTATTTTATGGCCCCACCAGTTCTTGCTTGCAGGCAAATGATATTTCTTGGTGCATCTTCCAATGCATCTTTATTGCTACTTTGTCATGTCATTGCTTGTAGTCAATCTGTGCAATCTTCTGTTTGTTCAACTTCTTTGCATAGGTGACATTTGCTGTATGTTGATCACTTCTCAATTCTGGCCTTGTATGTATTTATTCTTAAGGCTTTCCTGCTCTTGGCCATGCCAGCTGTTTTTGTTCTTGTTGAAGTTTCTAGGCACTCCTTGAGGCATATTAACAGAATAACAGAGTTGGAAGAGATCTTGGAGGTCTTTCTAATCCAGAGGTTGGCAACCTTAGACATTCAAAGAGCCACAAAGGTCCTAATCAGAAGGCCCCTGTTCAGTTCTGGAGCCAACCGGAAATCCGGTTCCCCCACCATAGAGTCTCCTCCTAGCGTGGCATCCTTTTTCCTCTAGCTGTCCTAACCGAAAACCCTATCAATTGTGAAGCTGACCGGTGACAGGGAGCTGCAGCACAGGGTTGAAAGAGCCATATGCGGCTTCAGAGCCACAAGTTGCTAACCTCTGTTCTAGTCTAATCCGCTGCTCAAGGAGGTAATCCTATATCAATTCAGACAAACAGAAGTACTTAAAGTGATGATGTAACAACGTATCAGGCTTTGGTGATTAAGATTTGGTTGCAAACCACAGTCCCTGAGATATATTTTAATTAGTCTGCCATGTTCAGCTTTGGTTATAGTATATCAGCCACAGTGTGACTCCGCTTGATAAAAATGCTGTTTACTAGAATCAAAACATCATACAATTGATTATTGTCTATCAGTGTGAAGTTATACATTATATATGTGCATGTGAACACATAGAGTATATAAAACTCTACAAAGTTTAGGTTTTGCCTTCCAGTAGTATCCTATGCATGTTTGTCTCAGTAGGTAACAAGATAGATTGCATTAGCTTTCTTCTGAAGCTAATACTTTCTATATAATCTATTACAATTGCCTATTTCTTTCATGGTTACATCCAGAAAAAGGACCAGCTTGACATTTGACATTGACAGGTTTGACATTCTCCACCTCCTACTGAGGCTCTTGCCATTATGAAGTGGTGGCCTGCTAAACCATCTGCCCCTGCTGTTTTCCTCCTCTTGTTTCTTTCTATTAAGCCCTGAGCAATTTGGCAATGATAAGGAGCAAACTGGGCATGGAAGTAACAGGAAGACAAATCATTAGCAGAAACAGTGAAGGAAGTTGTCCAAGTGCCCTCAACTCTAGAATTGGCAATATTGTGCTTAACCAGATTTTCAAGTAGAAAATTGCTCCTTCAAATTTGTGGAAATAAAGAATTAGAGTGGCAGTTACAATACTAAGAGATCAAGCTGATAGAAGAAGTGAAGCAATGCTGGTCTAGGATTGGAGAATCATCTGTAGTTGAATCAGTTATTGGGTCAGGACAATTGAACATTATAGTAAGTGTATATACAAAATAATTGTATATATCTGCACTAACCAAATATGGTTTATTTGATTTCGCTTCTCAGGTAATATGTACATACTATGTTCTGAAACTATAACTAGAATGGATGTTGTGTTAATTTTAATATTGTATTTCTTATTTTTTTAAAAATTTTAAATGCCTTTATCTTGCCTGTGAGCCGCCCAGAGTCCCAATGGGAGTGGGCGGCATACAAATTTCATTAAACTAAATTTCATTAAATTTCATTAAACTAAACTTATAGCTTAGCATATTATGCAGATGTTTTATTCACGGTTAAAAACACTTTGGCTTAACATGATACATTACTCTAGTCTTCATGTATGATTAAAGAAGTTGCCTTTTTTCTTGTATCTTTAACCACTAATATTCCAAAGTTTTACTTTTAACTTCCCACAAATTAAATATACTTTTTAAAAAAAACCAGGCTTGTCTGTGGTATCTGCTTCACTCATGTAAAACTTACTGTTTATAAGAAAAAAAATGTTTTTATTTTCTTTATAGGCACCTTTTCTGGATATTTTAAATACAATGCTGGACCCTTATCTTCCCTTGACTATTGAGGAACAAGAAGAATGGGGAGATCCTGTGGGAGATGAGTCCAACAAAGAATATATTAAAAGTTATTGTCCATACCAAAATATTAAGCCACAGGTACTATTGAATTTTGTGCTGATTAAACATTATTGCACCATGCATAACTAAAACATTAAATTTAGAAAATTGTTCAGACAATTTAATGAAATCCACTCAAAATGAAGAGAAACTAAAACTAAGCATAATAAAAAGCTTATAACTTATACTTCTAAAAAGCAGATTTCAATAAGCAATAGTAAGTAGGATTCCATGGCAGGAATAACTAATGGGAAAAGGAACTCAGCAGGGGTGGGAGTTCTTAAAAGGAGAAGATACCAAAGGCACAGTTACAAACAGTTTCAGTGGCAGGGAGGGGGAAATGGAGGAGAGAAGAAGCCAATGTAGGCAATTAAAAATATCAGTTATGCATCTTCTACTATTCAGTATTTTGATTGATTATTTATATGAAGAGGAAAGGTAGTCAAGTTTGCCAATGATACAGAATTAGGCAGAATGCCTAATTTCCTAGAAAACAGAAACAAAATTCAAAATGATCTGGAGAGAGCTGAGAGAAATGTAGAATTTAATTAATAAATAAAAACGACGGAATGAAATTTCACAGAGACAAAGTCTATCGCTCATTAAAAAGAAGGAATGACATGCACAGGTACAAGATAGCTTGGTTTGGTAATGCTATCTGGATCACTGTCGCCAAAGTGCAATGGGTTACATTGCTGCGGTCAGACTACAATCTAATCAATAGGATCACAATGACAATGCAGGCAAAATTGATGGAAGGGGATTTAAGGGAGATGTATAACTCTCGAGTAAACAGGTAACTTTCCTATATCAATTGTGAATAGGTATGGCTGCACCATAAGCTTAACATTGTCTTGCTTTACCCTCAGATAACTGACTTGCTTGGTTATCTATTTCCAAGTGAGGAAAGAGTAGCTTCAGTATCAGCTAGGACAGAGTTAAAACCATAGCCAACGTTTTATTTGAATTGCTTTCTAGTCTCAGATAAAGAGTTTATGGAGGACTTTCAACACAAGACAAATACAACTGTTTATCAAGTCAGAGATTTGATCTTCTCAAAATTGTCATCTATGGCTACAGTCTGGATAGATTTTTCATCCATATAATTAACTCTGTTTAATGCTTTTTTTTCTGCTGACATGATAAAGCAACTTCCATCAAGTTAAAAATTAATGCCTGCACAGATTGGTATCAATAATTCCATCCTGCTAACTCAGACATTTCCTTTCCTGCTGTCACTTTTTCTTTTCTTTTTAGAATTACCCTTCTCTTTTTATCACAGTTTCTGAGAAGGATCAACGAATTCCCATGGCAGGATTGTTAAGATACATCAATAAACTTAGAAAAGCTGTACAAGATCATGCCAAAAGCAACAATTCAGATGATAAAGGTAGCGCTTAGAATTTCTAAATCACATTTGGGGTATGGCTAATGAAACAACTGCAAACGTTTGTCCAATCCACCAGAAAGAAGCATATGAAAGTAGTCATGATAAGTATGTTTTCCATAAAACTAAAAGTTCAATTTAGGAGCAAGAACAAAACTACGGCATTTACAGCATTGCTCTCTTCTTTCAAAAATCGGAGAAAAAGAAAAATGCTTTGGCCTCCTAGCAGATAAGTTGGGTTGAGAAACCAGATTTAGCAAACCTTTCACGGAATGGCGCAAGGAAGGACTACCTATATTCATGCTCTTTTTTTTCTTCAGTAAACTAAGATTTATAAAATTAGGATTATGATGCTGAATTAGACCAATTAATTTTTTATGTAAGTGGCCCTTGTTTTTAGATTGGACTATATTTCATCATTTTGGAACAGGAATTGTATATATACATATGTATCCTGATATGATGACATATATTGATTATATTGGAAAAGATAGTATGTGTTACATGCAGTAAGTTAACATTTACATAAAATATAGTTGTTGTAACACCCAGAAATTAATCTGCATACAGAGAGGAAATTATTAACTTAGAAATAGATAAATTAATCAAATTATTAAT